GGTTGCTTGAGTTAAACGACAGTGGAAAGTAACCCTTGGTCTTTGGTCTGGCATGGCCAACTATGAGAATTGCCCTACGGTCCAGCTGCCTAATTGAAACCTCTTTACCTTAGACAAGGATGGAGAATTATGCACTGGGAACGGGAAAACATTACAGGCCACCATAGGTGGCTGGTTACATGCAGTAAACTAACCCACGATCCTTTGACAGTACTTTAAACCGATGAAAGAAATTGAAAAATTAGACCACATTCGTTTGCAAACAATTAAGCAGTGATGCTTAGTAACAACATATTGTTTAAAATGTGATGAAACCAACAATGGAATTGCTCCTTTTACGCTGAGAACCCTGGATGTTATTTCCCAACAAAAATGGGAATGTACATGTCTTTGTGGTGGATGCATGGATGTGATGTTGAACCTAGAATTTGATATTGGAAGGGACTTTCCAAAATCACATCCATGCCAGAAATCACAATCCAGGCCTAGTTGTTACAGTCTAATTACTCATGATGTGATGTTGGATTTTCCTGGATGTGATTCCTGGCTCAGATGTGATTTTGGTGGTGTGAATGTGATATTGGATAATCCTTACCAAAAATCGCATCCAGACGACTACAGTCACCTTTCCATTTTCGTCGAATCACAATGTGGTTTTGATGGTTTGGGTGTGATTTTGGTGGTGTGCATGTGATATTGGATAATCCTTACCACATTCACATCCAGACAAGTCGCTTTGCCATTTTTGTTTGGAAATTACATCCAGACCATTCACAGTGTTAATAAGCAGTTTGGTATTTCAAAAAGCATGGTCATTCGGGAACAATGTGTGCGAGTCCGCTCAGGGCTACGCTGCAAGGGCAGACCCCGCACATGCATCTGAATGAACTTGGATGGGCTTCATTTTGGGTATGCGCTGTTAACATACTGAACTGGCTTAATGTATTTTTTCTTCTTAATCCAGCATTTGCGGGAAGACAACTTGACAGTGGATTACTTTGTGATCGGGGCTGGCCACATCATCGACACTTCCGAAAGTCACAAGGACAGTGTACCCCACAACTCCCTCAAGTTCCACTATGCAGACATTGCTGGTAAGGGAGGCTTTGCCTATGTGCAGACGACACCAAAGAGTATGCGGCTGATCTTTTCTGATGGGTTGGCTGGTAAGGATTTATACTCGGCCGAAATCAGACCCCGATCCAAGGTTACAAGGTTAAACTAGGACACGTGCAAACCTAGCATGCCTAGTGTGGACAGTTGTTTTTGTAGTCAAGACAAGAGATGCTTAATTTGCTTGTACCATCACAGTGAACACTCTTTTAGCTGGATTTTTATTGGTTTTCTGAAATGTTTCTTATCCTTTTGGTGGCTGTGATAAGTCTATCCAGGAATTCCACCGAAACTTTTTCCAGAAAACAAAGTGGCCTTCTGTGGTCGACATGGCTTAGTCCCCAAAAGGTTCGTGTGAACCACTTTTTGTTCAAGGGTCCACACTAACTCAAGTGAGGATCTCAGAACCAATTTTTTGTTTTTTTAGTGGGGTAGGGGTGAGGGTAAACTTGTTTTGGGGTCCCAAAATTTGGAAATTTTTGCAAGTAGCCCTCAGTCTTTCTGAGGGGTGAGGCTACATTTTGGGCTTTTCACCCAATGAAGTAGACGAAGTTGTTCCGAAAGAAAAAAAAATTGGGAGAGGGGCATGGCCTCATCCACCCTTGCTCTCCCCTGTGAAAAGATTTACACCTTTGTCACTGAATTCTGCTGGATTTAGTTGACTGTATCGGCTTCAGTGGGATACTTTGTTAGATTCAGCACAATTCCCCAAGAATTCCTAAAAGTTTTTTTTTGAAGTCCAGTGTACGCAACAGGAAAACCAATACTCTGAACAACGAAAAACACATTTTCCCCCCTTTTTTTTGGGGGGGGGGGAATACAAGATTCATTGTACCAGTCGTTCACATTTTTTCGGGGTGGATGGTTCGATGGAGTTAGCTGGCCTTCTCTTTAACTACAGGCATATGGTACATTTGAAGTTCACTCATTAATTAACCCTAACAGTCCTCGGTCCTCCAACAGGTGAAGGATTGAGGAGTGTTAAGGACTGTACTTGAATTGGGGTTTTTTTTTGTGTAGGGGTACCTCTTGCAATCCTTGGCCATGTTGTCAGTAATATGTATTATCAAGTGTCTGTAACTTTTTTATTTTCATATTGGCAGAAATTCTTCCAGTTCGTATCAGTGTGCACACAGGTTTTCAATTTGGCTGGGAAATGCCACTTTAAGTAGGTTTCTCTGGCTGGGTTGATTTAAAAATTACCCAGATAAGCATAACGCCCTCTCAAATTTGTTTAACAATGAGTGCACTTGCATTTGAACAATAGAAAAGTCCACTGATTTTCTTCTTTGAGCCATCTTGAAAGTTCAGTGAAAGGTAAAAAGTTGTCTTGGTGAGGCTTGTTCTTGCATTCAAATTCATCAGAAGCCTTGGAAAGAGCTTGATCACAATAGTCTTGAATTTCATTTAATCAAGTGACATACAATATCAACATGTAAGACAATTCACATTTGTTTGTGTACATGTATGTGGCAACTGTGCTGTCATTCCTATTTGCATATCCTATTCACAGACATACATGTATTGTTTATATAAAACTGAAGAATTTTGGCTAACGTGTTGCATCTTTTCCATGTTGTGCTATTATAAAGCAGTATTGACTTTCTTTAACACTCCTATGCAAAGGCACATTCTTGACTAAGTTGTCCTATCAGCCAAATCAGACAAATGACACGGTTGTCTGTACTGGCTGGGTTAAATCAAGTGGAAAAAATTTTTGACTGTCTGTGACTGTCATAGCAAAAGGTTTAATATGATGAATGGTAATTAATTTTTCGTACACAAGGCAGTATTTGATACATGAATAAACACCAAAGCACATAATACCAAAGTATTTTTAAAAATGTCAAGCAGCTCCAGTGTACCCCTACACATGAAACTGAACGACATCAACTGTGCCCACACTATCAGGACACAGGTCATCCCGTGTGCTACCAGATATTTATAGATTAAAGTGCTATAACTTGAGCCACTACAATCAGTGCAATGTACTCTCAGTATAATTAGTGATGACAAACCAATTTTGGCAATGAAAGGAAAGACGCTAAAGTTGGTGAGAATTACGCACATGCAACAAGAACGTGTCTGGATGATGACTGCATGTGCAACATTGACAAAATGATCAACAGGAACAATTCGAATCAGTTTAAGGTAATCATGCACAGAGCAGAGGCATTTAAAAAGCTGCGACGCCAACTTAAATAAGCCATACACGAATAGATTTGTCATGTCTTTCTTTGTGATTATCAAACATGTCAAAGTACAGTGTACTTATGTAAATGTGATTAAGGAGTTGTCTTGATAAAGGATTTTTTTTCTCCAGTTCCAATCATGGTGTCATTTCTGTGACAATGGAGAGGTCTTGTTGACATACCGTAGCATGTAATTCATAATGCTTTCCCCAAAAAATTGGACCTTGATTAAGAAAGTTACCATTTTTTAGTGTCTCTGTCAGCACATCATAAACATGTATTTGCAAGAAAGTATTAATTTGTGCTTTATAGTTGAAACTATACTCAGGATATGTACATGTACTTACTAATATTCATAAAAAAGTCAATCCACTGAGTTTATATAATGGAAATTTCTGACCATGTGCAGTACTTAATTAACCGATTGAGCCATTGGAAAAACAGGCTATAGAGTACCGAAGTGAATCTGGCACACAGTTGTTTGTAAAAGGCATGAGTGAAAGCCAGTGCGTGAACCAACACGCACCTGCACTCCACTCATGCACACCTCACTTCATGGTTCAGAATGTCACACTTCAGTATCTATGTTGCCCGAATGAGACAACAGTGGTATACAGTATTAATTCTGTGACTACATTGTAGTGAGAAATTTTTCACTCTGCAGTATTTCAATATGCGTGACCTGTGTCTACTATTTTCGTTACATGTATTAGCGTGTAGTGATAGGTCGAAAGATATCCTGTGGAAAAACAACAGGCATGAGAGGAGTCGATATTTCAAAAACACTTCGTACAAATGCATTTCAGTGTTTTTGTTAATAACATAACTGTATTGTGTATCAGTCTGGGGTATTGCCATATTTGGATGGGCTATTACCATATTTGGATGGGCTATTACATATCTTGTGCAATCTGACCAATCACAAGGCCTGTTCCAGCAGACCATGATGGATTGTCGGTGTTAAGGGGTGCTCTCTTAAACATTGGAGCATATGGAACAAAAACCAAGGTTAAAAAATTCTGTTTGCAACACTTTGATTGGCAGTGCAAAAATAAAATCATTACTGACATGTATCAACTGGACGTTCTATATCATGTTTGTACCAATTCGATTTAAAATTCTTCGCTGCCAACTCGAGATAATTAGTGTTGAAGTTGGCAAAAAAATTCCTGTATCGGTAGGGGCAGAAAGGTGACGCCCATATATGGTTACACTCCCGACTGTGCACGAGTAAATATTGGCACTAGAACATTGTACAATTACAGTGCTTTCAAAAGTTCATACAAAATATCATAAAAGGTAATTGTGTCATTTGTTTCCTTTCAAGCTGTAATCTGGATTTGTTTTTATTTTTAAATTGAAGAGATGTTCAAACGATATAAACATATACAAAGTCAAAACGAAGCACTGTGGACATAATGGAAATTCCATTTACATGAAGATACAGGTTTCGAAACGAATGAGAAACAAATTAAAAGAACAAAAGACTGCCGCCTTTGAAAAGTGATGTCACCAGTATCTTTTATTCACAGCAAAAGCCCGTACAAAATCTGCATTGAAAGAAATCTGAATAAAAATCCCCTCTAAATAAAACTTGCTTTCTTGATTTGTACATTGAAAAGCCTTAGCTGGGTAGAATCATGGAAACATATACATGTAATTCTCTGCTTTGCTCTAAGGTAGAGGCCGGTTTGGACTACACCATCACAATCTAACTGATAAAGAATTACAAAATAACCCCTGCCTTATGACAACGCCAGCAATCATCGGAAAGGGTGAAAAAAGATGCGAGACCAACATAAGCTATACTTGCTGTAAGCTATATGAGCCAAATGCAATTCCTCAGTATAAGGCTGTGCAATGGTTAGTATTTGGTATATCAGTAAATCCTTTTCTCACGATATCCAGTAATAATTCAAAGCGATTCGACTCAGAACAGTTGGGTTAGTTAACTGGCCACATGTATGTAGACGTCCTCTCTTTCAGAGTTAATGTGCAAAGTGTGTAAAATATGCCAAGCATGTCACTTATATGAAATTAACCAGAAATGCTCTCGATAAAACTAGAGATGTCATCAGAAAGGTGAGTGCATCATGACTCACACGTGTGTGACTCATTTCTGTAAACACTACAAGGATTCAATTTTGGAAACAGAAATACCCCAAATCAGATAACGGGGATGTGAAAGTGAACATAAGAAAGGACAATGACCCCCAACAGTCCTAAACTCAATAGAACTTTCATACACATTTGTGCTAGGGTTGAGAGTTAAGATCAATATGTTAACATCATCTTGGCTTTGTTAATGTGACTAACAACAAACAAGGTGAAAGATGGAGTGGGGAACAGAATGGCAGGTGCCATAAATGTGTATTTGAATTTTCTACATGAAAGTAAACATTGCTTTGTAATGTAATTTGTCAGTCACTGTAAAAAAAATTTGACACATTCAATTGGCCTGGGGACAAGAAGAATTTCTACAGAAGCAAGCATATACATAGCGCAAAGTGTGTACGGCAGCATTACGGAGAAGACGTTGTAAGTATGAATGCACAGTCTTTTGTGCCATGTGGAAGAGATGTCTGTAATGTGCGCAAAGCTCTTGCATCAAGCAATCCTACAAAATCACTGTTATGTGGCAAAGCGGTTACGCAGGTGCATCTGTACAACATGACACCCATGCTTCTTCAGTGTGGATAGGTGCATGTATTCCAGTCATTGCGGGGAAGCAAAACATTGTGGGGACACATCAGGGTCGTACCCTCCGTGTCGGTCAAAAGAGGAACAGAAATTAGTCACCACATAAACAAGGAAATTCTATGCTGCACGCAATCAGGTGCGTGGACTTCCTATAGAGTAACTTGTTTGTTATATTTTACTGGCGTGAATGGGAAGTGATGACAGGGAAATGAAATGATCAAACCCACCTACAACTTGCGTGCACCTTTTAACAGATGCTGAAGCTATCTCAGAGCATGGCAAGTGCATCTGTGTAGCATCCGTATTCATGGTTTAGCTTCATCTGCCCCACAATGCTTTGCAACATAATGGTACTTTCATTCCCTTTTAATTACTGCCTAGGTACTAACGAGTATGGCAATAACTTTGGCTTATTAGTTCACATTTGGCGTACCATGCACAACTTCCACTACCCCCCTTCCTGCATTGTTTTTATGCATAGTCTTAGCTGGCTGTCTTGAGAAGGCCATGTACATGTAGGTCTCAAATTTTCTTGGATGTTCAACTCATACAAAAGTGGTTTCCTGGAACCATCAGTTGGTGGTGATTAAAATAAAAAGGTTTCTTCAACTTGGTTGGGTGTTGGGAAATCTAGACTAATAGAATTACATTTCCCAACGTACATGTACATACGCATTTAATGTCTGGAACTGGTAATTAAAATGTCACAACCACTTTTGTTATGACAGAGTTGATTTATCTTTATTCAAATCAGTGCTGACTCGGAAATTCATTAAGAAAGGGTTCCATTGCCCAAGCAGCATAATGTACAGTGGTATAGACAACAAATGACAGTGGATTCAAAACAAAACTTACATCATTAAAACAAGGACTAAGCTGCCTGTCATTGTGCCAAGCAAACAGCAACGTGCAAATTACATCATGGATCTCACAAATAACATGTCAACTAAGAAGTTGAAAACACACGGGACTTCTAGGCCAGAGTTTTCAGCTGGAGGGTCAATCCACCTTAGACTGAAGAGGTTTCAACAACCGATTGAAGAAGGTCCAATTAAAAAAAAAGCAACACTGAGAAGTGAACCATTTTTTGCATTTTTTTTTACCTAACACCAAAAAGAATGTCATGGAATGATACTTGCTTCAACACCTGACCGTGGCCCACGCGGCCTCTTGAGGGCTCCACGCACGCTCAACCTCCATGAGCCTACTTGAGATATGGCGGGCACAACAGGAGGGCGCTACATGTACTTGGCTAGGGTAAAATCATCTGCGTTTGCTTTAAATTTAACCACTTCAAAAACAGCTCCCTCTTGTGTCCGCCACACCTCAAGTAGGCTCATGGAGCTTTTTCAAGCCTCATCTGTGCAAACTTAATGAAAATCACTCATGCGTGGAAACAAGTAAAGGTGTCACCTGGTGCATGTTTTGCACATCATCCAGGGTGAAGTGGTTAAAACTATGGGCCTTGAGCTGGACCAAGAGAGGGCGCTATTTCCTTAGCAACAGAGGCTCCTTGGGTACAAACTGAACGACTAGGAAATGCAAGCGTTGTATTTCATGAATGAATACGTCTGACCAACGCGGCTCTTTTCAACTGATGAGGGGGTGCTTCTGCTCGAGGCAGACACACACCAATGTAGATGTCCAGGTTTTTACTGCATGTGCGTTGATTTTGTGGGTGGTGTTTTTGTTATGTTTGGAGCCAAATACTTGTATATGTAAGAACAGTCCTGTTGGCCATTTTCACTTAACCTCCAACACGACAAGCAATTTCTGCTGCACGCGCAGGGGTGGTGATAGCATACAAAGCAATGCATGCTTGATACACTGGTTCCTATATGAGTAAAACGATTGCGGTTACACCATGGATCAATCTCTTTCTTGAGTATGTGTGGTTCTGAGAAGAAACGGGGAATAACTCAACGCTTCGAACAGTGTACTCTGTCCGTCTTCAGGAGACTGTCTCCTGAAGACGGACAGAGATTGATCCGTGGTATAACCCCAATCGTTTTACTCATATAGTTCTTTCACCATGAAAACCTTCAAGTCTTACACTGGTTCCTGTTGCAAGAAATAGCAAGAACAATGAAAATGGCCAGGGGAACCAGTGACACAAAGTTTCTCCCGAACTCCAACAACCTCAACAGTGAACACTATTGGAAGCAACATAAACCTGTGTTACAAATATTTGCGCGAGTTAAGTCAGAGATCGTTTGTATAGATTTCAGTTGTATGCGTACAAGCATGTATTGTACAGTGTCTTTGGTCTGGCAGAATTTGTTCGGAGGTCTCAGTGCCTGTACAGTGTTGGAAGCAAGATTTTCCGTTAGACTGCAGAGTACATGTCAGCCGGTTTATACGACGCAATCAATTTGCACTGGTACACAACTGCATTTCACAAAATACCTCACCTTGGAACTTCTAGCTGCAAAACAGTGTAACAGAAAATATTTCGCACATTTCTATTGCACCTGGCATTTAAACATCTAAGTCTTGTCCAAAAAAGTGCTCTGAGTGAGAGTTTTGTAACAATCAGTGGGAGAACTGCAGCGAATGTGAACAGAAGTTTATTTCCAGAGGAGCGTTATATAACGGATTCGCTTTGAACCAAATTCTAACTGTAACACAGGGCTGGAGATAAGACTTGTAACAAATCTAAACATGTCTAAATAATGTAATGGCAAATCATGTACACATGGACCAGTGATGGATCCCAAACCTCAGAGAGGTTCAAAATCTGTTTTAAAGCCAAGTTAGTGATATATACATTTACTAAAATCAATGGGCTAGCAAGCATAGTAAAGGAATGGACATAAAAACGGTCAAAGGTCAAAAGAGCACACAGGAAGATTTGAAAGAGGCTATTGGTGCCACATCTGAATCTGGTTATTAGCTTTCGGCCGTGTTTTATAGGGGGGTGTTTTGGCGCTCTGATGCTTCGGACAAAAGACATCATTAGAATCAATCTATGGACGGATATGAAAGATCCACGCCACGCAAGAACAAAACTCGGTGTGCATTTCACATAGAGATCACAGTTATTTCATGGGAACTCCCCAGGAGTGAACAGGCTTATGCACATTTACTCGGACACGCTGAGCACAACCAATTAATGTTGGAATGCACAGTTGTCAGGGGTGTGAGCGGCTGCTTCAAATTAAAGCTGAAAACAGCGAGCAAAAAGCTGAAAACATAAAAAAAATTCCCATACTTTTGCACAGACCAGGGGTACCAAAAAAAAGCTGAAATTCCGAGTCAACATCTGAACAGAAAAGCCTGAAATCAGCTAAAAAGCTGAATTCTCACCGCCCTGGGTTTTTCATTTTGTGCACAATTTTGAAGTGATTCACACCAGCCTGTCTCTTCTTGGCCGGGGCAGGGGCGCTTTCAGTCGGGACAGAAAGTTTTAACCACCTGATTCAGATAAGGCTTGCGATTCTGAAAGCAGCTCATATTGTAGTGATTATCATCTTGCAGCTAAACTAATCGGGCTCTTAAGAAAACTAGAAAACAAAAAATGGGGCCCATGTGACCACTGTCCACTGGCAAAAGGACTGCAAATGACGCGTGGCTTCTGGGAGGAATTATGCCAACAATTTAAGCTTACTTGTTTGGTTAGTATGTAGCTGTCAGTTAGGGGGCACTGCCTGGTACCAGGAAGCATCCTGCAAAGAGAGAACAAGAAAGGAGACAACACCGTATGAAAAGACATTCCTGAGATAAGTGTCAAATGTGAACTTTGCCTCCCTAGAGAAAAATGGACCTGCAATTTTGGCAGATTTAGTTTCATATCGCATGGCCACAAATTTCTAACATTATGTCTTGATTCTGTTTAAGGTTGGCAAAGCAAAGTGTCTTGGTAGTCCTTCAAGCTTAACCCTCAACGGTATTTTAGCTAGCCCTGCTGAACACCAACCAATGCATGACAGTTGTCCAAGGAACAAGTCTACGTAGTGTAATGATCAACAAGATCTACTGATGCCACAAATTGGACCACCATTGACCGAGCTGGCTGTGATCGATGAAATTCAGCCGAACAGCCAAGAGTATTCTCTAAGACATGGAATTCGATGTTCATGCTGATGTATACATTGTAGTTCTTCAAATATCTTGGAAATTGAAATCTAATTCTGTTTACTGCAGTAATTGAACTAAATAAGAGGGTCTAAAAGAGTGAAGGAGAAAAATTGGACACGTACATTTGGCTCTACCTAGTCTAAACCTATCACCCAAACCTGGTACCAGAGCTGTGGACCATTTCTGCGCTGCCTTCTGCACCCTTAGCGAGACCGTGAGCAATGGCGCTGTCGTTTGTAGCCCTCTTGCCTCTCACTGGAGCTCGAGTCGCGGCGGCGCCGGTGCGGATTGGGGTTCCTGCGCCGGCCGCCCTCTCGCCTCTCGCTGGAGCTTGAGCTGGAGTCGCGGCGGCGCCGGTGCGGATTGGGGCTCCTGCGCCGGCCGCCCTCTCGCCTCTCGCTGGAGCTTGAGCTGGAGTCGCCGTGGCCCCGGTGCGGATCAGGGCTCCCTCCCTGTATACCATACTTCCGATCATGCGAGCCTGACCGGGATCTATCAGGGCATAAAAAACAGTTGTTGGCACAGAAAAAAGGATTAGGTTTCTCTCTGGAAGTACCACCGCTGGATCAAGAGGAGAAAGCCTGTTGAGATTTCACAAGGAGATTATTTCGCTCAAACTTGAGCTAACTCAGGACAAAGAGTTACCTGTGGGAGGCAACCATATGGGAAAATATTTAGGGCCTGTGACACCCTCCTGTTCAGACAACTCCACATTTTATCTCATACTCAACACCCTTGGCACTGTTCTACAAAAAAAACCTGGCACACCACTAAATTTATGCGGACTTGTAGACCAGCAGTCTAGATGGACCTGCTGTAAGACCTACAGCAACAGGACCAAAATTACCCAGGGTGTTCGTAGAGATACCGCACCTCAGAGGCAGAAAGGCTGAGACCCAACTGCTATGTGGACCAAGACCAGCTACGGCTGGACTGTCTAGAGGACCTAGGACCAAATTTACCCGAGGTGTTCGCAGCGATGTGGGGCCTTGCCAGTGGGCAAGCCAAGACTCTGGACATGGACCGTAGTTGAACCTGCCCAAGGGCATACAGCAACTGGACCAATTTATCCAAGGTGTTAACAACACTCTGGCGCCTTTTGCTGCATGTTGGCTGGGACCCAAAGGTCATCCTGGACCTAGACTGACTGAAGCTGGACCTGCCCAAGGACCTACAGTAAAGGAACAAATTGTGCATGGGGTTTGCTGCAAC